TCACTCCTTAAAAAACAGTCAACCCCTTGAGGTCAAAAGGGGGCATCATTTTCCAAAGGGCAAAATTCAGGAGCCAGGAAGGAGGAAGAAATGGAAGCGGAAAAGGAGGAATGGAAACAGGAGACATAGAGCAGAGCTGGGCTGAGTGAAGCTTACTCGGTAGGGACTGACTGACGTCAATGGCACGAAACAAAAATGTGCCGAATTCTTTGCTCTGCAAACCTTCACCGAAATCACAATTAAAAAAGGAAAGAAAAGACTGTTGAACACATCGCAACAGTCAAATCCCCAACCACTTGTGGGTTTGGTGCCGGACTCCACAGTGTCTCAGGAGGCAGCCATCACTCAGCATCAGCTAACAACAACCACAATGTTTATTTCACTGTCTCTCCTTCATTAGTCTCTGAAGTCCTGGCCCTATAAAAAAGGGCAAGCACATTGCTATCAAATCCAACTCAATTATAGCCTTCGGGGCTCTATGGGGCAGATCTACCATGATTTCTAGGGTTCCTATGAACGAGATTGTGATTATGCTCGGAATATAACAAATACCTGTAGGTGCTCTGTGCATATTTTTTGGTTGACTGTAAGGCCAGCCTGCTCTAAATAGCTTTTAATGAAGCATGTTGTCAGGACACCTATAGAAGGTGCAGAACTAGTTAGAAGATGTTGTCTGACAGGTACTGACAAAGAAGTGCAGCCCAAAGTCTAACAGCATTTCAGCTGGGTTTACCGTGGGCTGGAATTCCCCACCTTCAGTGACAGACAGGTCTATATCCCGTGTTGTCTTGTAGCAGATACTTCTCCAAAGCAAATATGCTGGAAACTAAAGACCTCGGAAAAGAGAATTTCACACTCATTGGTTATGAGTCTGAGTTTCTTTATCTGACCAAGAATAAGATTTGTGGGGTCTGAAAAATTCCAGGTTCTGTTATTTTTTTATAGGGAGTATCAGGTTGGCAAGAGCCTACCTCACAGCCTCTGATGAAGCAGTTTCTCCCAAGAAAAGGAGACAGTGTATTCTTTTCTCTTTCTCCGCTCCGCCCTCAGGAATCTGCATTGGGTTTGAGGTAGCTGTGGTCTGAACTAGTTATCCACGTCAATTCACCAGATGAAATCTCACCTTCTATTTTCAATAAACCTTTGCATTGGCTAGGGGATTTGCTGGACAGTAGTATGCTAAAGCCAGCTCCTACAAGGTTCAGAAGTTTTATGAGCCAGTTGCTCAACTGATGTTATTGTTGTTGTTATGTGCTGTCAAATCAGAACCAATTCACAGCTGACCTTCCAGTGGGGTTTCAAAGGCTGTACATTATGTGGGAGGACATTGTCCATCTCTCTCCCAAGCAGCTAGTAGATTTGAGCTATATGCCTTTGGGCTGACAGTGCAATTCCTTGCCACCAAGGAGTTACTTTTAAGCCATCATCCACAGAAGTATATTTATACACTAGCAATGGGTCAATGCTGAAATTCAGAATACTTTCCACCCTGAAATCTAATTGACCAGCATACCACTAGATTTGCATTTGAAGTCTGGTGGGACACTTGGTAGTAATTGTTCACCTCTTACATAACCTTAGTTTCCTCATATGAAAAATGAGGCCCAGATCAGTACTACACACATACCATACCAGCTGCCACACAAAACTGTAAGAAGTACCATTTGAGCCAGCAATTCCACTTCTGGGAATTTACCCTAAGGAAACCATAACCGCTACCCAAGCAGATATATGCACACATGTGATTATTGCAGCTTTGTTCACAATATCAAAGAGCTGGAAACAACCCAAGTGCCCATCAACAAAAGAATGGATAGAGAAGCTCTGGTATATTCATACAATGGAATACTATGCAGCACTGGAAACAAGGAACTCAGGAAATATTATGCTAAGTGGATGACCCTAAAGGACATTATGCTGAGTGAAATGTCTCAGTCATAAAAGGACAAATATTGCATAGGGACACTATTGTAAAATATTGTAAAATAGGACTGACGTTGGAGTTGAGGGAAGACAGAGAAGAAGGGGAGGAATGATGTATACTGCATTGAAACAGATGAGGGAGAGAACTGTTTAAAAGGGATATATGATTGGGTACTATTGTCATGACAGGAGTCCAGAATGAAGGCTGCACAGTGCAGTGGACTTGCGGGGAGGGATTGCATAGCAATGAAAGAGTCTTTCTTTTACTTATCAAGGAGAAAAGTGAATTGGGGAGGGAGGGGGTGGGCAGGGAGAAAAGTTCAATAAGGAATGACTGGAGACCTTAAGTCTCTGTAAACTTTCATTAAAATTAATAAAAAGAAAAAAATGTAAGGATTAAGTGATAAAGCAGATAACGTGTAAACCCCAGCACTGGGAAAGTGTAAGCATTCAATAGATAATTGGCTGAAGATCACCATTTGTGTATCTTGCTGCTGACTTTGCCAGACATCTCTCCTATTGATTTATGACAGGAAATCTTATTTTCAGTATGTAGTAATATTTTAGCAACAAAACTTTCTCTAGGTTTACTTGTGTTATTGGCCAGGACAGCAGAAAACCTGTGAGTTTAATAGTCTTCTCCTCTTATTTTTATGTATAACATTCTCCTGTAGAATCTCCAGGTCATGGGAATGAATGATCCTCTCTCTTCTAGTGGCCCACTGATGGCCTAGTGAGTCAGGAGTTATGCTTCCAGCCCAAAGGTAGGTGTTTCGAATCCACCAGTTGCTCCATGGGAGAAAAACGGTCAATCTCCTCCTGTACTATTTAAAAACCTCTGAAAAACTGTTACAGGGTCAGTTATAAGTCTGTTCTTACTCAACGGCAATGAGTTAGCTTGGGAGTTTCCAGAATCAAATACTCTCTGTGGAAAAGGAAAATGTCAAATATTTACATTCCATGAGTGCCATAAGCAAAATACAAAATTAGCCATCTTGAAAATATTTTATTAAAAAGAAAAACACAAACCAAAAAAAAAAAGGCCTTAACTTTCAAATCCCTAATTCTGGGGGTTAGGGAAGCTCTGAAAACTATTAGTTCTTCATAATTTAGATTGTGGCAAAACCTTACCCGAAATGTTCTGAGACTATTTGACATCTTTGTTTATCCTGCTTTGTGTTAATGTTTACCTAATCTGACATTAACATGTTTGCTTCTAGGGTACTGTTCCAGACCCCACTGGAGCTGTTACATAGGCACCCTCTCACCTTTCTGTTATTGTGTGCTGTTCAGTTGGCATCAACTCATAGCTGACTCTCCAGCAGGTTTTTCAGAGGCTGTAAATCATCTGGGAGGAGATTGACTATCTTCTCCTGTGCAGCAGCCAGTGGATTTGAACTACCTACCTTTCGATTGGAAGCACAACTCCTTACCACTAAGCCACTAGAGCCCCTTCCTACCTTTCAAGAACCCCCAAAATGCTGGATTCTGAAGCATATCTAGCGGGAAAGCTTTTCAGATTAGAGTTTGCCGTCCTGAAGGAGAAACCACACGTCTGACTTTAAAGAGTTTTATAGTTAGCCAGACCCAAGTCATCAGCCAGGTCTAAGAGGGGCATTGGACACTTGAAAGGACATAGATGCTGGCAGGAAGTGGGACTGTTAAACCAAGCCAGCTCAAGCCCAGCTTTAGCTCTCGAAGTCCTTATTGAAGAGTAGGAAATTTAAGTCGACACATGTGCACATCCCCACAGGACTTCCTTCAGCAGCCTTTATTCTTTCCTGGATTCTGGAGTGCGGATTTTCTACAGTCCAGCTGGTCTACCTCCAGAGCTCTTCCAGGCCAGAGAGAATCATTCAACAGGAGGTCAGGAATTTTTGTTAAGTGCTTAGAGCAAACAGCCTCCCCCCTGAGAGGAAAAACAGAGTGCTTGCTGGTGCTGTGGCGCCACTCGGCAGACCCAGACCCCGATCCTGTCGGAACGTCTCATGGTACACCCAGATCCAGAGCGTCCTGAAGCGCCGGGCCACCCGGGAGATCTGCGCATGTCCCTAATGGAAGAACCTCCCTGCAGACAGATAAATTAGAGCTCCAGGGCTTTGAGCCGAACCCAAAGTGATTCTGCAGGGTCTCTGGCAGTCCTCGAATCTTTTCCTTTAACCTTCTCTTACTGTTGTGTCTCCAAAAACCTTCTTAATCTGTTGTGCAAGTTACAATCTCCAGAACTAACCCAGCAAAGACATCCCTTTCACAAAGTCCTCAGACCTTCTTGTTCATAGGGAAGAGGATCTGATTGCTGGATGTTTGGTGTGGCTTCCTCCCCACCCCCCTTCTTCTATGACCTAAAAAATTTAGTTTCTCTAGACTCAGTCTTTTGAAGTTTGTTATCTCTTTTGGAAATGCTGAGGGCCTGCCCTGCCATATGTTTCCCAATAGGCTACTCTGGACAAGTCCATAAATAATGAAAGTGACCTTTACATGAGCATTTTCTATGTACCAGGTACGATCCTAAGCACGTCACATACATTTCAATTTTTCCTCACAGCAGTTCTGGTAGGTGGGCATTGCTTTTAATCCCCTGTTTACAGCCAAGGATCCCAAGGCCCAGAGGGTTTTAATAACTTGTCTGAGGTCACACAACTAAATGCCTGAAGATGTGAAATTTGGGTTTTCTGACTCCAGAGCCCATGATCTTAATTGTGGAAGAAATGTGAGTAAGGAACTAAAATGTTCTTTGGACTTAGGTCATTCTTTGGTTTCTTAGTTCGTTTTGTCCCACAGACCTCTACAAGCAAGTGTGAACCCAGTCCAAGTTCTAAGGGAGATACTTGAGTTCCCTGAACTGGTGTCTCCCCTTCCCTCTTCCCTTTGACACTGATCAGTCCTCTTCCACACTTTACACCAGCCCACCGTCAACACGTCCATGATAATTGTCTTGATATTCCCACAAGGTGACCCAGCATCTTCTGGGTCCTCTTGACCTATGTCTTGGTAGGGTAATTTGCCACAGGTGAAAAAATGGCTCGAGGTGGGAGACACCACTAGAAACTGGGTAAGCTGGCAGGCCTGCTTCAGACTGTGCTGGACATATCATGAAAAATTAATATTCTCACAACCTGATTTGGGTTTGGGGTCCTCCTTCTATCATTAGCTAGTTACATTATCAGCAGTTTATTCAACTCTCTGATTCCCAACTGTCCCTCTATAACATGAAGCTAACAGGCATGCTACCATAAGGAAGAAATAGAGTAATGACAAGAAAGGACCTTGTATACAGTGAATACTTAGGAAATATTGTGCTTTATTGGTGACACTAAAGTAGTCAAATATATTGGTCCAAAAAAACCACAACTTTACTTGCTGAATGTGAGGAGTACTTGAAGCACTTGTTGCAGAAGATTAAGAAATGCAGCCTTCAATATGGATTGCATCTCAATGTCAAGAAAAGAAAGATTATTACCACTGGACTCAAAGGCATCATCGTGTTGGATGGCGAGGAGATTGAAACTGTCAAAAGTTTCATCTTGCTTGGATCCATGATTAACCCCTTGATACCAGCAGTCAGGAAATAAGGAGATGCATTTGTACTGGGAAAATCTGCAGTTCGAGACCTCTAGAAATTATTGAAGGGTAATGATGTCAGTTTGAGGACTAAAGTGCATCTGATTCAGGTTATAGTCTTTCTAATCACTTGCTATGCATCTGAGAGCTGTATAATTACTAAGAATGATAGAAGAAGAATTGACACCTTTGAGTTGTAGAGTTGGAGAAGAGCGCTGAACATCCCATGGACCTCCAGGAAAATGAACAGATGTGTCTTGGAGAGGGTGCAGCTAGAGTGCTCTTTGGAGGCAAAAATAATGAGTCTTCATATCACATATTTTGGTCATATTTCAATAGGGGTTGTTCCTTGAAGAAGGACATGATGCTAGAAAGGGTAGAGAATCGGCGAAGGAGAGGAAGACCCTCACCAGGTAGATTGACACGGTGACTGCTGCAATGGGCTCTTGTGTGTCAGGAAGTGTGAGGATGGCACAATATGGAACAGGGTTCAGATCTTTTATTCGTAGGGTCACTATGAGTCATACTCAAATCAATGGCACCTAACAACAACAATGAGAAAGACTGGTCACCCAGTCTTTTCAATTAAGAGCACTTAATTGCACTCACTTTAAAGCTGTACATAGACCAAGAAGCAGTTATTCCAACAGCAAAGTGGGTATTTCATGGTTTAAAATCAGAAATGGTGTGCATCATTGCTGTATCTTTTGTCGATCCTATTAAATCTGTATGCTGAGCAAACCATTTGAGAAACTGGGCTAAATAAAGAAGAATGCAGGCAGCATCAGGATGGAAGGGAAACTCATCAAACTCCTACATTATGCAGACGACACAACCTTACTTGTAAAAACAATGATGAAGACTTGAAGCATTTACTGAAGAATATAAAAAACTATAGCCTTCAATAGAGGTTACATTTCAACATTAAGGAAGCAAAAATCTTCACAAGTGGACCAAAATGCAACATCATGATAGATGGAAGAAAAATGGAATTTGTCAAGTATTTTTCACTAGAGCCACAATCAACACCCTTGGTAGCAGAAGTCAAAAAAATCAAAAGACAGGGAGCTGTGGTGCCCTAGAGGCAAGAAGCTGCACAATAATCCCAGAGGTATGCTGTTTGAATCCACCAGATGCTCTGCTGGAGAAAGAGGGGCAATCTCCTCCTGTACTAGTCAGATCTGATTTGACGGTACGCACATACAAAATAATAAAATAAAATTTCATTTAAATAAAATTAACAAAATCATAAGACATGTTACATTGGGCAAAATTGCTGTCAAAGACCTCTTTTTTTTTAAATTTAGGTTGTTTGTTTTTCATTTCAATGAACATCTACAGAGATTTTGGGATTCCATTCATTCATTGTTGCACCCTTCTCCCTGCACAAACCCCTCCCCCCTCCCCCCAATTTGCTCCTCTCCTTGAAAAGCAAAAGGAAAACTCCCTCATTGGTACACAATCCCCCTGTCAAAGACCATTTTAAAGTACTCTCAAGCAAGGATGTCACTTTGAAGACTAAGGTACAACATAGTATTTAAAAATCCAATTTTCAATTGCTTCATATTCATGTTGGACAATGAATAAGGAAGACTGAAGAAGAACAGTGCCTTTAAATTGTGGTGTTTGTGAAGAGTACCAAATACCCCCCGCACTGCAGAAAAACAACACACACACACACACACACACACACACACACACCCCAAAATCCAAACAAATCTGTCTTAGAGGAAATACAACTAGGGCACTGATGGTACAGCTTCATCTCACATATTTCAGGCATGTAGTCAGGCAGGGCCAGGTCTTTCAAAAAACATGATGGGGAAGGTAGAGACTCAGTGAAAGTAAGGAAGACCCTCAACAAGTGGGAGCAACACAGTAGCTGCAGCAGTGGGCTTGATTGTGAGGAAAAGGCAAGGGTCCAGTCTGTTCACAGAGTTGCTGAGTTAGTCACCCAGAGGGCACCTAAGAATGAGAACTACTATTGTAAATAAGAGCCTGTGTTTTGGTGGACAGGCTATTTGAATTTGTATAGCCCCTGAAGTTTCACAAAGCCTTTTACATGAAGAAGCAAGCATCTCCAAGTATCTGCAAAGGTGCTGCATTGACAGTTCCATCAAGATCATCCAGACCTCACGAGTGCCAGTGTGGAATCGTGCTCCACAGGGACTTCAGGTGCTGATTTTTCTGCACTAGATTGCCAGGACTTTCATTTGAAGTGTCCCAGGGTGGATTCAAAGTACCAACCTTTTGGCTGCAGTCAATCCATCTTGTTAAGGATGTTCTTCTCCTCTGTTTTACCCACCATTATGTCATTTTCCAAGAACTAGCCCCTCTTGACAACATATCCAAAGTATGAGATGACTATTAGACATTTTATAATTTCATATTTGCTATTTCTTTTATCAAACAGGGCAGAGTATTAACATTCCCCTTTTCTCTCTCCAAGAGAACTGTGACGCAGAGAGGCTAAACTGCTTATCAAAGCAAATCCAGAGCTCAGCCAAGAATAAAATCCAGACTTATAAGCCATCAATTTAATATAACCTCCCCTGCTCCTGGGAGGCTTCATTTCTAAGGGCCCCATCCTCACTGGAAATATTAAACATGAAAAGGACAAAACTCACATTTCTGCCAGACGAATGACAGCCAGGCGTCTCTGGAAGAGCAGTTAGCATTCTCAGCACGCAGTTTCGCGTTTTAAGGTGCTCAGATACGTAAAAGGAATGTAAACCTCATCAAGCCTGTTTCTCGTGTCAGAGTCTATTCTGGCTCTTGAAAGTAGGCCGCTGAGGCCGTGCCCTAAGAGCTGCATTCCTACAGAGGTAGCCAGCACCAAGCAGAAAGCAGGCAGAGCAGGGCCCTGGCCTCCTGAGGGGACCCGCGGGTGATCACAGCCAATCACCTGCCCCAGAGACAAACTCCCAGTTTTTGCAGACTCTGTAGAAGAGGGCACGAAACGTGTTCCCTTTTGCATTATTTCTTTTTAAGGACTTGGATTATTTTTAGAGATTTTTCTTTGTTTTTCCTTTCCTTTTCCAGTTGCCAACTGTTTTTTTATTGGTTTGCTTACAAAGTTCGTATACATTGTGTTTCACACTATTCTTCTTTCATATTGTGTTTCATACAATCATTCTCATACACCATGTTTTATAAAATTAATCATCATTGGACCTTACCAATTATTACCCTGTCTTTTCACTTGGATTCTTCCCTCCCTCTCTGTTCAAACTCTTTTTGATTCCACATGAAAATTCAAAAAGAGACCATTCTCTCATTTGCACTGTCTGCCCTGTTTCGGCACCACTGATGGCACGCGCGGTCCCGGGACCATGTTGTTCATATTCAACACACAGTTCACACATAGTCTGGCTCTTGGCAGGAGCCAGTTGGGTTTCATGGGAAAGAAATGGAGCAAGAGAACATCACCAAGGGCCCTAGACAATGCCTGTGTTTGATAAGAGATGAAAGAGCTTGGAAGTGAATTGGAGTCTTCTATTCAAAACGCTAAACTGGGAGGTAAGTCTGCCTTCGTCCTCTGAGAAGGCACACATCACCATCAGGATGCAAGATTTATCCGCTCACAGGACAAGCAGATAGCAATAGCTATGACAGCATCAACATTTGTCAAAAAATGGCTGCACATGTGGGGTTTTTTTGGTTTGGCAGGTAGCTCAAAGTACAGTTTGCTTTCAGCCCTTCAACTCCTCAGGGTTTCCCCCCTAGTTTGCTTCTCTTCTAACTGACCTTTAAAAGCATTCGTACCCTTCAATGTCCACTGTTCCTCTCTCATATCTTAGAGATCAAAGAGCCACTATGTTGGGTGGAGTTTGAAAAATAGAGTACCAGCCTCTGAAAATAGATTATGCAATAAGAAGCAAGGCAAAATGTCAGAGTGATTTCTCCTTATGCCTCGTGTTGCCATTTTTATGCACGTATTTCTCTCCGCGTACAAAGATCCTACATTCCTTGGCTCATTCTCGGCCTTTTCAGGTTCAAGTGGCTCCCTTGGAATTAGATTAATGTAGGCATTTTGATAGGCCCGTGGGGTGGAGTAGACAGCAAGAACACTGCTCAATATTTTCATGATATATTCTTGACCCCTTAATGGCCTGAGTAACTTTTTGATGTTGTTAATTGCGGTAGAGTCGGCTCTGACTCACACTGATCTTGTTGAACAGAATGAAACCTTGCCCAGTTCTGCACCATCTTAATGAGTCAATGGACTCAAATAGACCACCCTTTCGAGAAAGCTCTTCTTAAAGAAAAAGAAATGAGTGTTGCTTTCCAAAGTATCCTCAATAGATTTCTTGCTCTGAAAAGAGTGTGATTTGGTTTGCAAACATTCTTACTAACACATAACATTTTCAAAATCATTCCTATTCTGCAAAGTAGGAAATCTGCCTCCCTGAGCCTAATCATGTTAGACTCACCCTATCTGGACCTCCTCAAACCCAATTACATTTCTTTAATTTTATAAAGCTTGGTGCAGGTTTTATTTATTTACTTGTTTTTGTTTGTTTCCCCACCCAATGTCATACACACACACACAAACACACACACACATACACACACACACGCGGGGGGGTGGGGAAGAGAGAGAGAGAAACTTCTCCAACACCATAACTAAAAGGCATCAATTCTCCTGTCATCTTTATTCATTGTCTAGCTCTCAGATGCATAGCAAGTGATTGCAAAGACATGAGTCAGGTGTACCCTAGCCTTCAAACTGACATCATGGTTCTTCAATATTTTGGAAAAATACTTGACAACCAACTTTTCCAACATAATACATCTTCTGATTGCTGTTATCAAGGGTGTTAATTGTGGATCTAAGTAAGATTAAATCATTGACAGTTTCAATCTCTTCTCCATTTCTCCTTGGGAAGCAAATATTTTGAAGCCTTCATCTCACATATTTTGAGTTCTCGGCCAGGAGGGACCATCGTTGGAGAAGGACATCATGCTTGGAAGGGGGAGGGACAGAGCAGGAGGGGAAGACCCCGTATGAAATAGATTGACATGGTACTAGGGCAATGGGATTAGGTAGGTCGGAGTCAGTGAGACTGGCTCAGGACAGGGCAGGGTTCAGAGCTATTGTACATAGGGTCACCATGAGTCGCAGGTGACTTGATGGCACATAACAACAACTGCAACATGGTAGAAGGTGATATTCAGGGTTAGTTTTCTTTCCTTCTGCAGATGGTTTAAATATAGTGAAGACTGTTTGCTAGAAAAGAGTGTTTTCATTGGCAATGGAATCACTGCTTCTCCATATAGGAATTCTAAAGAATAGTGAGAAGCCCTGATAGCATAATGGTTGGGCATCCAGCTGCTAACCATGAGGTTAGGGGTTTGAGCCTACCCAGTATCCCTATAAAAGAACTGGTGATTCACTTTTCTAAAGAAACCTTATGAGGAAGCTCTGCTTTGCACATATGGTCACCATGAGTTGGAACTGACATCACCACTCAAGAATAGCATCACTTCGTCTTTGTCTCATTTCTTCCCATCTGTTGTTGTTAAGTGCAGTTGAGTTGTATGAACAAAAGACCCGAACACTTTTATAACTTTCATTGTTTCTCTAAGTTTATGGAGTTTCTGGAGGCAAACTATTTTGGAAGTGGATGCCACTCCTGCTTCCAAGCCTGTTTTAAATGAGGAGCTCCACCAAACACTGTCCACCATGGGTTACTGTTATAGCATTTAACCCATCTAGGCACTATTTCTTTCTCCTATCCTGATGATCGACTTTTGGAAACTCAGCAACTCAAAACCCTATCAGGCTCATTTCCACTGACACACACTGGGTGACTCAAAGCAGAGTCAACTCAGTGACAACTGGTTTTTATAGCTTATGATTCCTAATAAAGTCTCTACCAGACATCTGATAAGGTTAATGTTATACCTACCCAACACGAGGCGTAAATGAGATCATTGCATTTGACAGTCTTTGATCTAGTGCTTGACATATTAATGGCCTGATAAATGTTAGTTGTTAACATTATCATAAAAAGTATTTATTGAGCAACTACTATGTACCTTCTGACTCAGACTCCTTAGAATAAGGAGGGAGAATACTGTCTACACTGTCTTCCAATAAATTATTCTGCTGGCTTCATGTTCATAATGTTTATTATCAGGGCAGACAGTTACGTGGTAATCCTTTCACTTTATAGAAAGCCAGACTCTGAAGCAATGAAAGAACATAATTTTGTTTTCTTTTGAGTGATGATTTATAAGCCATATTCATTTCTCACACAATTAGTCATAGACATTTTGTTCTATAACACTAATTGCCATTGATGAATGTAATTAATGAATTATAATGTCTAATCCACCCCTTATCATATATTTGAATGAACCTAGTTTTAAAGAGAATCTCTGTGATTAATTGTTCCCTATTTCCCAGCTTCCTATACAGCTGGTCACGACATGGCTAATGACCATAGTTTCATTTAAAATTTTGACTTTTTATTCATCATGGATTTTTGGTACTAAATTTGATTTAAAAATATTATATTACAATGTTAATCTTGATTACTGATGGTTCGGGGATTTTTCTGCATACCTACCTTTAAGTTTCATGCTGAACTTAGTCCTCCCTCCACCTCACCCTAATCTCAGCTCTGTCAGCTCAGCTCCCCTGCAGACTCAGCGCAGGACTAGACACCAGGAGAGATCATCACATTGGTGTCCGTAGTTCTAGCTCCACTGCCTACACTCAAGCCAGTTTACCATCAACTTCTGTATTAACTGCCCAGTTGCCTTTGGAGCCAACTCCTGGTATGTTAGAGTAGAACTGTGCTTCGTAGAGTGTCCAAGGTCTGTGACCTTCCAGAAATTCATCACTAGGCCTTTCCTTGAAGATGCCTCTCAGTAGACCCAAACCACCAGACTTTCAGTCAGCAGTCAAATGCATAACAGTATGGGCCACCTAGGAAATGTTCATTGCTTCCTGTAGTCTATAGAGGCAATTTAATACCTTAATATCAAGAAAACAGGAATCCTTACCACTGGACAACAGATGATGGCAACATCACAATGGATACAAGACTGACATTGTTAACATTTTTCTAGCATCTTTTATTGTCTTCTTGGGCAGAGAAGTTAGTAGTGATATTTTGTTCTTGGATAAGAAGAGGCTGTGATTTGTTGGGTCTTTTGTCTTGTGGATGAATCAATTTCTTTAGTCTTTGTTCTCCTTTGCTTCAGACAAAGATAGACAGTTGTTTCTTAAAGAGAAGTCACTCTTGGTTGGAGTCAGCTTGACAGTACCTGACAATAACTCTTGGTTTCTTGTCATAGTGTTTTGAAGTTTTCCTTGTATAAATATTCTATGTCACTGTTTAGATTTACTCAGAGGTATTTTATCCTTTGGAGGTCTTCTCTTGGTTTATAAAATCTACTATAATCTATTCCCACATGACTGCCTTCATAATAATTTTTTCCTTTTCTGGGAATGTCCTTCCCCAGCACTTCCTGCGGCTTGGTCCTCCTCACCCTGGTGATAGCAGCTGATGTGTCATCTCCTCAGAGGTCTTCCCTGACCACTTAGTCAGGTGGCCCTCTGCCCCCATTATTTTCTTTTGTAGCTTCCTATTCTTTTCCTTTACAGCTCTTAACATAACTTGAAATTAATCACATAACCGTCCATGTGTTTACCCATCTATGTTTTTCTCTCTTTCTAGTCTATAAGCTTCTGAAGAGCAGAAGTCATGTTTCTTCACCTCCTCTCCCTGGACCCTAAACCCTGACTGGTCAAGAGGAACTATTCAACTATGTGTTGAATGAATGAATGAGTGAGTGGGTAGTGGAAAGAAATGAATAAAAATAGCCTTCAATTTGCACATTTTTACCTCAGGGCTCAGCCATACACCACAGGCCTTTCATGCTCCATTCTGATCTTTGCTATCTTGACCTTTGCTCTTCTAAAGCAGGTATTTTTCCCCTCTAGATTATTTTTATAGAAAAAAGTGAAGCAAATATAGAGATAATTATTGATTCTCTCTCCTCACGTCTCTGCTCCCTATCACTAACATCCTCCTGAGGGCCTGCTGCAGAATTCCTGGGAACCACAGGAAGTAAGTTTACTAACCACTTGAAATACTCTTATAAAAATAGACTGGACTTGCCCTCTTTCCTGTGGAAGGGATGCTTCCCTTAGGGGAAGTTTTGCAAAGAAATTTTATCTCTACTTAGAAGCCTTTGTCTCCACTCATTATCCCAGCACGATTTTTCTGTCCATACTCATATTCTTGTTCTGAAATTATTCCCCACTGACGGTGATGGGTCATTGATGGGGCAAATTGCTCATGTAA